TTTTCCTTCCCTGCCTGTGGCAGGGGGTCAGGCTAGATGATCTGTTCAGGTCCCTCCTGACCCTAGCTACTATGATACTATGATTCTTTCATGTGAGAACTACTGAGGTATTGCCCTCCTTTTTGTTGCCAGGAAAATGCTTCTTACTCCTTCTGAATCACCTTCTCCCCCGTGCCAAAGATGTCTTTCCAGAATCCCAATGTGGCTTTAGACCATCACGGGGTACCACTGACATGATTTTTGTTGCATAACACATCCAGGAGAAGTGTAGAGAGCAACACCAGGAGCTGTTTATGGCAAGGTTGTCCACTGAAGTTCATCAGTGTCCTCAAGCTATTCCATGATGGGATGACCATCACAGTCCTTTATAAGGGATCAGAGACAGACTCATTTACTATCCATAGTGGTGTCAAGCAGGGCTGCATCATCGCCCCAACCCTTTTCTCCGTCTGTCTTGCTGTGATTTTGATTCTCCTCTGGGATCGCAATTCCTCTCAGAATCGGGGTTAAGTATCAAATGGACAGTCAGCTTTTTAACCTGCGGCACCTTCACAGCAAAATGAAAGCTACCAAGACTGGTATCACTGACCTTTAGTATGTTGATGACTGTGTTATCCTTGTGCACGCTGAGACCAATATGCAGTCCACCCTTGATCTTTTTTCAGGTGCCAATCATAGCCTGGGATTCTCCCTTAATATGTCAGGCGCGCAGAACGAGCCAAGTCGGAGACTTCACCAGGAGAGAAAGGAGGACACTTTGCTCTACAATAATGGTGAGTACACGGTGGACTGCCAGGGCCCTGGCCCAGGTGGCACTACCTGCCCAGGGCTCCTCTGTGGCCTCCACCCAGACAGAGCCTGTAGGGGGGCTGGAGCCACTCTCCCCCACTTTCTGTGAGGGCTGCCTGGCAGGGCCTCGGCAGCCTGGGGTGTAGCAGGCAGCGGGAGCTCCCTCGCCTGTCCCATATGTGCCCACCTTCGGGCCTTGGAGGAGCAGGTGCAGGCTGAGGTCAGCAGGCTGCCCGGGATTAGGGTGGACAGGGACAAAATTGATGGGTACTTTTATTCTCTGCAGGGTCAGGAACCTAAAGGTGAAGCCACCCAGGAAGGACCCACCGCAGAAGTATGGCAGACAGTCACCTCCAGAGCCAGGGCTACTCGTGCTACCTCAGTGTAAGCTCCCCAGGTACAGCTGGGGAACAGGTCCGAGGCCCTGGCAGCCATGGAGAAGGAGGTAGGAGAGGATGCTTCCGAGGGAACTGATGCCACTCCAAGCACAGCACAGGCCAAGAGCTACTGGAACACCATGAGGAAGAGCCGCCGGGTCCTCATCATCAGCGATTCCATCCTGAGAGGAACGGAGGGGCCCATCTGTCGCTCTGACCCCATGGCACGTGAGGTTTGTTGCCTGCCTGGAGCTCAGATTCAGGACATCACGGAGATGATCCTGGACCTCATCTGACCCTCTGACCGTTACCCCATAGTCCTCATCCACGTGGGAACGAATGACGCAGCCAGGGGCAACCTGGACCACATCATGAGAGACTACAAGGCTCTAGGAGCAAAACTCAAGGAGACAGAGGCACAGGTGTTTTTTTTCTTCTATCGTACCAGTGAGCAGACGTGGATGGCACCACGAGACATTTGTCAGCAAAGTCAACCGGTGACTTCAGAGCTGGTATTAAGAGGCAGGCCTTGGGTTCTTGGACCATGACCTGCATTTCCACACAGAGGACATGCTCGGGAGGGATGGGCTTCATCCTCCCCAAAAGGTAAGTGTGTTTTTTCTTCCAGGTTGACTGATCTACTACGGCGAGCTTTAAACTAGGTTCGCTGCGGGACGGGGACTCAAAGGAACACAAGAACACTTCACTGTCAAGCCAGGTGACGTGCACAGGTAGTACCCAGTTAAGTGACAGAGGCCAGGGCAGGCTTTGGAACAAGGGGGTGGCATGGGCACCTACAGGAGACCTCAGATGCCTCTACACAAATGCTCAAAGCATGGGGAATAAGCAGGAGGAACTCGCCCTCCTGCTAGCTAGCAAAAACCCAGACCTAGTGGGGCTCATGGAAACCTGGTGGGATTCTGCCCACAACTGGGCATTGGACATCCAGGGATACAGGCTATACAGGCAAGACAGAGCAGGGAAAAGACAGGGGAGGGGGTGTAGTGCTATACGTCAAAGAGCAATACATGTCCTCAATGATCAAGATGGGGTTAGATGAAAGAAAAAATGAGATGCTCTGGGTAAGAATGCAAGGGGGACATGGGGAAAGGGACTTGATAATGGGTGTCTACTATAGACCACCTCACCAGGGGGACGAGCTGGACCTGGAATTCTCAGGTCAGCTCATGGAGGTTGTAAAGTCAAGGGATGTGGTTGTCATGGGAGACCTAAACTACCCAGACATCTGCTGGGAGGAGCACTCAGCCAGGTCTGACCGCTCACATAGGTTCCTAGCGAGGATACAGGACCTCCTCCTAACCCAGGAGGTGCATAGTCCCACCAAGGGAAATACCTTGCTGGACTTGGTCCTTGCCACAGGTGACAACCTGGTGAGAGGCCTGAGGGTACTCGACTATCTGGGCGACAGTGATCATCACCTGCTGGAATTTACTATCTAGCGCAGGGTGGTGAAAGCAAGCAGCAAGGCAGAGGTCCTCAACTTCAGGAAGGCTGACTTCTGTAAGCTAAGAAGGTTAGTAGGAGAGGCATTGGGGTCTCAGAGCTTCAATGAGATGGGAGTCCAAGACGCGTGGTTGTTCCTCAAGGAGATGATCCTCCGAGCTCAAAAGGAGTCAGTCCCAATGCACACCAAGGGGGGCAGGAGTGCTAAGAAGCCCCTATGGCTCAGCAAAGGCATCCAGGGATGCCTGAGGGCAAAAAAGGAGGAAGCTGCGGGGTTATTCAGGATTACACCTCTGTTGCTTGGGACTGCAGGGAGGCTGTTAGGAAGGCCAAGGCAGAAATGTAGCTAGGGCTAGTGACCAGAATTAAGGATAATAAAAAGTCCTTTTTCAAATGCATAGGAAGTAAGGAGAAGGCACTGGGTAATGTGGAGCCCCTACAGGATAGGCTTGGCAATCTGGTGATTGCGGCAAACGAAAAAGCTGACCTCTTTAACAAATTCTTTGCCTCCATATTCCTGAACAGGAACTGGGACATCTGCCCCACTAGAATTGTGGATAGACTGAGAGGAGGCACTGCCATGCCTAGGGCCAGGGACAACCTAGTTAGGGAACTTTTGGAGGGGCTGGACATGTTGAAATCAGTAGGTCCAGATGCTCTTCACCCAAGGGTGCTGAGGGAATTGGCGGGGAGCATAGCAGAGGCCCTGGCATGGCTCTATGAGTGCTTGTAGGGCACTGGCCAGGTACCAGAGGATTAGAAAAGGGCCATTGTGTCCCCCATTTACAAGAAGGGGAGAGAAGAGGACCCCGGCAATTATAGGCCAGTCAGTCTTACCTCGGTCCTTGGGAAGACCTTTGAGAAAATTATCAAGGGGGCACATCTGCAAGGGCCCAGCAGGGGAGGTAATGCTCAGGGGCAACCAACATGGGTTCATTGAGGGCCTGACTAACCTGGTTTCTTTTTATAATCAGGTCACAAAGTCCTTGGATGAGGATGTCGGGGTGGATGTCATCTTCCTGGACTTTAAGAAGGCCTTTGACATGGTTTCCCACCACATTCTCTTAAAAAAACTAGGTGACTGCAGCATTGATGCCTACGCAGTCAGATGGGTGGCAAATTGGCTAGATGGTCGCATCCAGAAAGTGGTGGTGGATGGGTCATATTCGACCCAGAGGAAGGTGAGCAGTGGAGTCCCCCAGGGCTCGGTCCTGGGGCCTGTATTGTTCAACATCTTTATCAGCGATCTGGATGTGGGTGTGGAATGCATGCTGTCCAAATTCACTGATGACACCAAGTTGTGGGGCGAGGTGGGCACGTTGGAGGGGAGGGACAGAATCCAGCTAGATTTAGACAAATTACAGAGGTGGGCAGATGAGAATAGGATGGAGTTCAATGCAGACAAGTGCAAGGTGCTGCATCTAGGGAGAAGGAACCAGCAACACACCTATAGGCTGGGGAACACCCTTCTTCTCAACATGGTAGCAGAAAGGGATCTTGGAGTCATTGTTGACTCCAGGATGAACATGAGCCGCCAATGCAAGGAAGCGGTCAGTAAAGCTAACCACACCTTGTTGTGCATCTACAGATGCATCACAAGCAGGTCCAGGGAGGTGATCCTTCCCCTCTATGTGGCACTGGTCGGGCCACAGTTGGAGTACTGTCTAGTTCTGGACACCACACTTCAAGAGGGATGTGACTAGCATTGAGAGGGTCCAGAGGAGGGCCACTTGCATGGTCAAGGGGCAGCAGGGCAGGCCCTACGAAGAGAGGCTAAAGGGCCTGAACCTATTCAGCCTCCACAAGAGAAGGCTGAGAGGGGATCTGGTGGCCATTTACAAACTCACCAGGGGGGATCAGTGGGAATTGTGGGAGGCTCTGTTCCCCCAGGCACCACCCAGGGTTACTAGGAATAACAGCCACAAATTGTTAGAGAGAAGCTTCAAGCAGGACATCAGGAGACATTACTTTACAGTTAGGGCTCTGGAATGGACTCCCAAGGGAAGCAGTACTCTCTCCTACCCTGGGGGTATTCAAGAGGAGGCTGGACAGATATTTGGCTGGGGTGATATGACCCCAGCACCTGTTGCTGCCTGGGGCAGGGGGTCGGACCTGATGATCTGTTTAGGTCCCTTCTGACCCTAAGTACTATGATACTATGATTGGGAAGACCAAGGCACTCCATCAGCCTGCCCCTGCACATGCTGGCCCCTCCCCACACAAATTATCATCAATGGACAACACCTGGAAAACGTTGAGCAAACTGGCAGCTACCTCTCTTGGTCAGTCTTGATGTAGAAGTTGAACATTGGATTTGCTGTGCCAGCGTATCCTTCAGAAAGCTGCTTTGCCCTGTCTTTACTGAGTGAGATCTGCAGATGGAAACTAAGATCCTGGTCTACAATGCAATGGTTATCCCCATGCTCCTCTACAAGTGTGAGACATGGGTGACATATCGAAGACATCTTAAGTGCCTGGATCTTCCATCAGCATTGCGTCAGGAAGATCCTTCACATTAGATGGGAAGACCACTGCACCAATGCCAGCATCCTTTCTGCAGCTAACATAACCAGTATTGTGGCAAAGATCATGAAACATCAACTCCTCTGGGCTGGCTGCTGTGTGCAGCTGGCTGACATTCGTCTCCCAAAGCAAGTCCTCTTCTCTCAACTCACTCATGGTAAGAGGACTTGCGGAGAAGAGAGGAAGTGCAACAAGGACACCCTGAAAGCATACCTTAAGGGTGGCATTAACCTTACAAACTGGAAAGTGCTGGCTGGTAACAGGTCTCAATGGCACTGCACCATATATCAAGCTACAGCCCACTTCGAAGAGAACCATCTGGCTCAGGAAGCTGAGAAATGGAAAAGGAGGAAGGAAAGTACACAACAGCCTGGCAAACAGCTGTGCCCCCCGCCCCTTCCCCCCAACTCCCCAGGTATCACCTGTCATATCTGTAGAAAAACTTGCAGAGCACAGATTGGACTCTTCATCCATCTTTAAAACTCACCAATAATCCCTACCATTCCCGCCCCCCGCAACCAGCAGACATCCAGCAGACAGCAGTATCAAGAGATAACTGAAGAAGCTGAGCCTAGGAAGTGGGTTAGGGATGTCCCTTCTATCAGGCCTGAGAAAGATTTATTACCTCTGAACAATCAGCGGTGGGCTCCACTTGCAGTATGTCTGTAATGCAAGACTTCCTAACTATCCCTGAAGGGACACATTCTCCTTGCTCAATCAGCTCCTCATACATGCACATGGTTCCCATGCTGACTGCCGTGCTCTGTGCATGGACAACATCTGGTCCTCTCAAAAGATCAAACAGGATCAACAGGCTGCGCTACCTCCCCACCCCATTGCACAGATGTAAGGCTACACTGAGGGAAACAGCTGCCAGGGTGTATGGGGAGGGTACTGCAGCCCCAGGAGGAAGTTCCTGAGCTGCCTGTCTTGCCTCAAGGAACAGAAATTCCTAGTTTAGTGGATCCTTCCCCAAGCTGTGTTGCTTGAAGAGGCCTCTCTTCTTGCCTCCCTGGCAGGACCTTGGCCCAGGCACGCCACATACCACTTGGCCCCTGAGAATAAGGTGACCGCCTCTTACAAATGGAACAGATGCCCGCCTTCCCCTTTACCTTCCCCCCCCCC